CGGGGAGACGGGCGGCTGCGGAGCGAGCAGCCGAGCCGCCCCGGCCCGGAGGGGCCACAACCAACCTGGAATCCCGGGCCGACCGCGTCCAGAGCGGGGCCACGGCCGCCGGGCCGGGCCCACCCGAGATTGGGGCGCGGGGTAGGATTACACCGCACCTGTCGGCCGCGGAGCGTCCCGGGGGGCTGCGGGCCTGGGAGAGGAGAGCTGGCAATGGCGTCCTCGGGCTGCCGACGGCCACGCCGCCCGGCCGAAACCGAATAAGGGACTTACCTGGGCCGCTAAAAATAAGTGAGATCCGGTGTGTGCACAGAGCTCACGTTTTTGCCCCTTGCAGAGAGGTGACCACACGGCAGCAGCACAACATACATATAATACATGATAATAGGGTGAAGATGGAAGACAAAGTACTCGGAGGTTGGGAAATGGTGGTTTTTTATCAGTACAGATCCTGTGTGATATACTAGCCAGGCTTTGATCTTAGGTTCTCTTTGGAGGACCGTGCCACATCCACTGCAAAGAAGGAGCCAAACTTAATCAGCACTGGGGATGTGTGCCTCTATCTGAGACCTCTGCTGTCGCATTGAGTTTGTCTTCTTCCATTTTTCTAAGAACATTTGAACCTGATTTATGTTTTCAGAGAGGTCTGACAGTAGGGGAGTTCTTCCAGAGTTTATGTTGTTCTACGTCTTTCACAAAAGCAGAGTAGACACCAGGTAGATCATGGATGGCATTTCCATGTGAGTACATCCACAATGGGAAAGTCTGCTTATTCCATCCCATATATTAAAGAAAGCACATGGACAAGAAGCCTTATAAAATTCCTCGCTGTGGGAAAATCATCAGTAGAAACTTCTATATTCTTAAACCCCAAAGCCATACAGCCATCAAACAGACATTTGTAAGGACAAGAGTTACCCTTAATCCCTTCAAAGCACTACTTTACAGTATAAAAACTGTTAACATTTTTAGGCTGTGTGAAGCATTATACACATAGAAATTTATGAAGGAAAGTTTAAGGTGCCATATAGCCTTTATTAACTTAACAGAATCACAGATTCATTAAGGTTGGAAAAGACCCTTGGGATCATCGAATCCAACTTCTTTCATTGCTGGCTGCTCTGTCCCTCTATAGCCGTTCCTCCTCCCCTGCTTGAGACCCTATAAAAATAAAAATGAGCCTCCTAGTTTTATAATCCCATTTTACTAATTGGGGCTGGAAGCACTAGCAGAATAGGGCCTGGGTTGTAAAAGCATCCATATCTTTTAGGTTTAAATCACTACTGTGCAAAGCTTCCCTCTCCCTGAGCAAAGTTCTCATTGATTTTAGTTGTGCTTACAAGTGCCTAGCACCCACTGCCTTTAGGCTGCACCCACTGCCTTTAGGCTGTGTATCTGGCTGGATGGCAGGTCACATGCACAAGCACGACAGTCTAATCCGATGATGATGCAGAAGCTTGACCAGAGTTCACATGAAAAATGTTTAGAAGCCTCTCATGGAAACACAGGTACAAAAAGGGATGGTAGACACTTATACCTCTCCTCCCAGGTAGAGCTGGAGCAAGGAACTGAAAAGTGTTTAAAGACAATCTAAGCCAGGAGAGACAGTAATTTCAGTAATTGGTTCATATGTCTCCTTCCACTCCTAGCAGCACTGTCTTAAAGAAAAACCACTGCTGCTCACCTTGTCTGCTTCTTAGTATCCATGTGCCAAAGTCTCTGTGCCTTAGCTCTGAAGGCCTGAAATTCCCTGTGAGCATTCCCTCTTCTGTCAACGGGTCCTCAAAGGCAAAAATCCATAACATGACTCAACTAAACAAGTCCATTTGGAGTGTTGTACACACTTTGGTCTTCTGCATGAATTAATTATTCAGGTGAATTGGTCTGTGAAACTGCCCCAAATTAGTATCTGTTTCATTTAGATGATTGTGAATGATGTGTAAGTAATGACAGACTGTTGCTGCAGAAAGGATCCTAGTTTAAACCAGCAGTCACAACCAACCTCTAAGGCCTGTAAAGGTAGACACTGTTCAAACAAACAGGACATTTCATTCCTTAGCGAATGACAATCTATGTGTCAAATAGACACCGATTGTGCTAGAAAACTTAGGCATGAAGTGATGCAGTGACACTCAGTGCCATGCAGCCTAGCCACACTTCTCCTTTCCCTCTATTTTCAGTCCTTCATGTTGTTCTTCTTTCCCCATGTCTACATGCCTTGGCTTTTGCCCCTCTTTTTCCCAACAACTGATGGCTTTGCTTTTCTGTAGGAAGCCTTCCAGATGAGATTTCAAAGTTCCAGAGTGAATATGGGTATATGCTCCCTCTCCCCCAAAATAAATTTGAAATTATTAAGGACAAGTATTATGTATTGACAATATCTAGACATATATTAAGTGTGATTGTCTTCAGCTGTACCTGATATGAGGTTCAGTTGTGCTTAATGCCATGAGACAGCATCTATACTACACTATCTTTTTAATAGAGTGAAATTAGATTGGTTTCAGGCCCTCTCCTCACCTTTCAGCTTAGTTTTTAACTTCATTAGAAATATTGTGGGCATAAGTCTGAAAACTATTTTTAACTTACTATGTGAGAAATGTGAAAGCAGTATGAACAGATACCCTTTCAGCTCATCTTCAACATTAGATCACACTAGACAATCGCTTATAGAACAAGCCTTACTCTACATTGTAATATAATGGACCAGAAGCACACATAAGTAGAATGGACCTCTTCTACTTCAGAACTGATAAAACTCAGAGGTTTACATTCCCAGAAGCTTCTAATGACAAAAAGAACAGAAATCCTCTTGTGATTAAGGCACCAAATTAAGACTAATTTATGTAATAAAATATTTCCTGTATTGTGAAAATCTTTACAACAAAGTCAGGAACCTGCTGTGCTGGACACTCAGGACCCCCCTACAAAAGGGGGTCTTCCTGCTTCTAGGCTCTGAATCCTGGGCATTGCTCTGCCATGGAGGGCTTTTGGGACCTAAGGCACACGTTCCTTCTTTTAATCTATTTTCTTTTCTTTATAATTGAGCTTTTAATACTATTCTACCCCTGGGGAAGTGTTTTGATGGCTAATTATGTACATATGCCAATAACAAGTGACACACAGAAAGATCAGCAGATATATAAATGATAATTAAAGAACATAAACAAGCATGTTTAACTAGCAGAAGAGAGACCACCACTACAAGAATTAAAAAAACTTACCTCTCTGGGGAACTGCCTTTTGACCTCTCTGGCTGCTTAACTGAGCACAGCCTGTAGCAAATATGAGGAACTCCTCCCCTTCTGGTGTTTATTACAGAGAAACAATACTTCCTGCAACACCTGAGTAAATATCCTCTAGGAAAACCACTGCAGAGTTTGTCTACAGCTAGCTTATTATTCCTTTGATCATAAATACCATCTACTATAATGAATTATCAAGTATGTCCAAAAGCTATTTATTGAATACATAGATTTCTCTGAAGCAGCCCTAAGCTTTGCCAGGTATTTTCTTTAGTTGATCAAAAGAGCTGTGTAACCCCTTTTGAAGGTCTTAGATGCATGATCCTTGTAATCACATTTAAGGGGCTGGTTAGCTCAGGAGATTGTTAATAGGATACAAAACTTTTCACATCCAGCCCAGATCAGTGCAAATGAAAAGTTGTGACTATTTAACAGCTCTTTCACGTCCTGTGACCTAACCCAATTCCTAAAGGAGAAATGTTTGCATTACTTTAAATTTGCAGAATGTGGAGTTCAGACTTTTTTAACTGCATGTGAAATACAGAACATTTGACAAACAGAAACATTATTAAAAAGCTTAGTGGTAATTAATGAATCTAACTGAAAATGCAAGCAAAAGATTTTTGAAAATTCTCACTCAAAAACTATCTCCATAGTCTCAACAGGCCAGTAAGCACAGGTGGGGGTTATTGTAATCAAAAAGCAGGAATTGATAGAAAGTAGGAGTGATTTAGAAAACTGACAGTTTTTGACTGAACTACCTCTGTATCAGCCCCTGTCATTAGACCCAGGAGCTGCACATCTAGCACAGAAATATTGCCTTTGAATGGTGAAAGCCTAAATCACACTTATTGAGTCATAACCAGTAGGGAAAAAAAAATACAAATTAACATATGCAAGACATTGTGTTGAAAATTTCACAGCTGTTTCTACTTCACAGGATTTGAGATAGCAATGTTTTAGGGTTTTGCAGGTATTGTTTTCCATCTAAGAAAGCTGTCAGATCCACTTTGAACTCAGGTCTCAAACTCATTTTTTTTAAAAAAATGCTTTTTTAAAAAACCCTAAAATATCAGAAAAAGAGGTATTATAAAATTTGGAATATAAAACCTTCCACAGTTGTTCTAAAAAACACAGGAGATAAGGTCAGGGGCCAAGTGATAACTGCAGAGATCTATGGTACAAAATGGCTTCTAGTGTCAGCAGTTACTTAGACAGTACACTTATCCCTTCCTTGGAACGCACTGATCACCAAAATAACCTTAAAGGATTTTGCTTAAGTGTAGTGATGTGAACTAGTAAGAAAGTGGCAGGACACTTGTGGATTGCTGCTCTCTGCACCCCTGGGTGTAATGTAAAGTGGCGATCTTGAAAACGTGCAGGTAAAAATTTGGGGTTGTAGTACTGCCATTTCAGAGTGTGCACAACAGATCCCTCAGAGTCATGAAGCTGCCTTGAAAATTGTGGGATTAGGAAACTAAATTAAGCAATAAACACCAGTCACGTGGTTATACTGGTCATGTGGGTCATCTTGTTAATACAGCTGTTCCCTTACTAACTGCTTAAAGATTTCGGGTTTGGAACGTCCTTTTTTTAAAAATTTTTTTTTGATTCAGTTGTACAGAGAGTATAATTTATATCCTGGAGTATCAGCACGTATGTTATGCACAATCCAAGTGAACAAAAAGATGCAATATATAACCTGTGTGTTTCTTTACAGCTGAATTTCTCTATAGCCCCTGAAGGTTTAGGTAATCAGTTTGTCATTACGAAAAATACCTATTAAACAAATATCACCGTTAACATTACTAACCACAAATGTACTTTGTTATATAAATAAGACTGTGAATTTATGAAGTATAAGTATCATCAATGTATTGATAAATCAAGCAGTTTAATTGATGTTTGGTGTACACATCTATGTTTGGTACACACATCTAGTTATCATCTGTGCTATTCTGGTATGTACTTACAGGAGCATAGAAAAGACCTTTAACTAAAAAAAAAAAATAGCAGAATCTTTCTGTAAGAGTATTTATACTTTTTCTCCACCCTGAATTAAAATAAGACCTAAACCCAGAAGCTGTTCAGTGTGGAGGCTCCTACATAATATATGCCTGTATAGCATCTAGCATCCAGTCTCTTGAGTTCATTGCACTCCAGGTGCTGCCATTTAACCATGTTTATTAATGGAGCAAATAGAGGTCTTTTCATATCAGCTGATAAAAGAATGCTTAGTGTTGAGCAAGTGTGTCTTTTCTATTTTCTTTGAAGGGGTCACTGCACAAATGTAAGCCAGGAACAAGAGATGGCATTTTGTATGAGTGAAAAGGAGAGGGAATCATTCTTGATCAGTAGCCAGAGCACATATATTTCTGTACCGAAAGCTGCACATGGGATCTGTCTGGCCAGCAGGTCTCCAAATCACTTCCTAACTTTTCTTCTACTTGACATGATTTTTCAGTCAGCCTTAGCTAGTGCAGAAGATTCTCCATGTTCACAGTTCCCACAAACACCCATCACAATTCTTCAGAGTTAAATTTCAGGCACTCAAGATGTTGTGCTTTACATAAAACCAACTTCTCTTAAGACGGAATCAGCTCCAGTAGCCTTGGCAAAAGTCACAGGGTGCCAGCTCCTTAATCTGTGGATTAACTGGATGTTGAGATTACCATTTGGAAAAATTAAACTTCTAATCCTCATAATATGTAAGGAACAGTAAAATTTCATCCAAATATTCAGGAACAAGATGGAAAATAACAATAAGAAATTTAACAAGTTTATTTTGTTCTGCCTTCTTTTTTAATACCGTATTTTTTAAAAGCCAATACTATGATTTTGAAGGGATATGACTTGTGAGCTTTGCAAATTTGAGGCTGGAAGTACTCAAATTATTATTCTTGGACAATTTCAAGTTTGGAATATCACATAATATGCAGAATACTTCCAGCCTCAAATACACAGAATATCTCAAGCATTCTTTGTTCTGCTCATTTTTCCCCATTTTACACTATTTCAGACATACCAGGCAGTTGCTGTCAGTCTAGATTGTCCTTCCCTTGGAGCCAGAGGTAACAAGCGCATTGCCAGTCTTCACACACTTCACAAATCCACACTTCATTAATCCCAAACACTTGCAAAGTAACAAATAAATAAATAAATTAACCCTAGAAAATTCTCTTTTTCTTTCAGGCAAAAAAGACACTGTTTGTATCACACTAGCCCCAAATTAAGAATGTTAAACTGAAAAGTTTGTTTTGAAGTTTTTATCCATTATTCTGCTAGTACTATTATGAATTCTTCAGCCTCCTAATCCAGAGGCACACCGCAAATGAGTTTTAGAAACAGTTTCCTATTCGTGAGTCTGTCATTAATCTCTGAGGATGTTCCAAAGATAGCCCTTGGAGGATTTGGATTTGTCTTTCTTTTTAATCCAGTTAGGGAGTATAGCAAACAGTGACACAAACAGGATTACATTTTGAAGGGGCCCATGCCTGGTTTTGCGGGTGGCACAGAGACATACTGAGCTCTGGTTTCCTGCTCTGCAGTTTGCTGTCTTCCCAACTGCTCCTCGTTCTTTTTTTCTGGTTGATTGTAAACACATTTGAAAAAATATTTTGGAATTTTGCAAATATTTTATAATTTTTGAAAAATTACACATTTAAAAAAAAAAAAAAAAAAAGAAAGAAGAATGAGGGAAGCTGTGTGCAACCCTGATTTTTAGCCTTTTATCTGTATTACCATACTTGTGTCCCGGTGCTCTACAAGTTAACCATATGTAGCATTTCCAACACATTCTCTGAATGACAGGACAGACTTGTCATCTCAGCTGAGAGCAGGAATGGTGGCAGTTCTCTGCTCCAGCAAAGTACTTCCAGCATTTCTGTGGTGACGATTTCCATAGAGCCAAAAATTCATTAGGACTTTTCTAGGTAACAAGCACTTTTTAAAATAAAACCACTGATTTTTAAACAGTGGGGGTAATTTAAACACTGAAGTATGAAAGGCACCAGTATATTATCCATCTCAGAATACCTTTAAATCAAGGCAAATAATTTTAAACAATGAAAACATCCAGGATTCTGTGTTCCTGGAAGTATTAATTTCATATTGATTATGGCAGCTGGTGTGCTAAATGGTCCTGACTGCTGTCTCTGTTATTTATAACTCCTCCAATTTCTCCCATTAGCTGCAAACTTTATCAGAAAATACTTTTGCTTCCCAGCTATTGTCAGGAAAAAATGCTTTAGGACTAAGACCGATTGATACAGACTTCCATAAGAAACATGCCTGGTTTAGAATGGGTTTCAATTTCATGTTAGATTTTGAGACCTGCAAGTAGCCAGTTTCCAATCTGTCCAATGGTGACAGACTGATTTTATAAATTCTTAGGACTAGTATAAGCAATCTAGAATGACTGGCTTTGGTATTTCATATAAGCTGCTATAGTTAGCAAGGGTCCACATTTAAGAAGATACCTGATGCTGTCAAAAACACTCATTAAGACAATGAAAATAAGCTTAATAACCACCCCATGTTTTTCTGACTAGAGTCCCAGTTTTCAGATGCGTCTGTGCTGTGTTATGGTTAGCATTATAAAAAATTAAAATAAATGTTACAGAATGAGTTTTATAAGTTTATATATCATTTCTACATCAGGTAGTGCTGGTTTTGTTGCTCATATACACTTACGCCTCAGATGGTATATCTGAAGTGGTTCAGTATGATCTGTAAGTCATAACAACATGGCAATGTAAGTTGTCTGGAGTAAGGAAAATTACTGAATAAGCTCTGAAGATTTTAATAAACAAGATTTAAATTAAATTAAAAAGCCAGCATTCAAAACCCCAAAGCCAAGAGTCAAACTTGTTTTCTCCTTCACATTATCTAGATAGCAAAGAAGACTGTACTCTGTGTGTTTGTTAAATAATACACCTTTGCAAAGCTGAGGTAAACTTATCTGGCTGTTCTTTAAAACATTTAAGTTGCAATTAGTGTAATGGTCCAGCAGTTACTGTGTCTAGGTGCTTTTCAGTGCCAGAATTAGATCTTTAGTTTGCCTTTTACAATTGCTTTTTAAAAAGGATTGCTAAGCAAACCTGCAGAGAAGGCATAATGGATCTAACCATCTGAAAGTTTTCAGTTCTGAAGATGAAAATGGTCTTTATGAAGGTGCTCTAAGGCACAGGTTAAGTGGCAAAAACTTTGCTTCTCAAACTCAGCAGGCTTTGCAGCTGCCAATGCTGAACTGGCTCTGAGGAATGGATTGTGCAAAGTGAAATT